ATTAAACTATTAATATCTATTTAGATAATTTTAATGCTCGTTTTAAATACTTAAATCGTAGCATCATGTTATATTTATTGTGTATGTGTGATAAACAATATTTAAAATATGTTTTAATGTTTTAAAATATTTTATTTATTTCATTAGCTACTGCATTCCTATTGGCTGCCCTTAGGTTTGGTGCCAATTTTAAGCAACTGTGTCCTTATTTAAACTCACCTTGCCAGGTAACATGTTCTATTACATATTGAAGAAGCCCTTTAGGCCAAACGCGTTTGTGGATATTTTATATTGTGTATTTTATTCATTAAATATTTTTTGGTCACTTTTTATTGTGCCAATCATCTTTTAATACACTTTATATTTTTTACCTGTCATTTTATTATCCTGGACTCCAAGTAATCCTAGGTGGGGATCATACCACCAATGCTATCATCAGGGAACAGTTTGCCTTTTTATATATTTTATTTATAATTGTTTTACCCAGAGAGCACTATTGGTCGTCTCTTTTTATTATTCTCTTTGAGTGTTGAACAAACCATTGAAGGAAGAAGCCTGCACCAGGGGCGTTTTAGCCGCGAGGCAAACAAAGCATTTGCCTTGGGCGGCAAAAAACGCCGCCCGCAAATGCCCAGGGCAAATGCCTAGTTAGCCTCGTGGCTAACAGGCATGCCGAGCGGGCAGGCGGCGCTGGCTGATGGTTGGGCGGGCGGCTGGCGAGGGAGCTCTTCCTCTGAGCGGTCTGCTCAGCTCCCTCGTGCGCTGCAGAGTGAAGCTGGGAACCGGGATATGACGCCATCAACCCGGCACCCAGCCTCACTCTGCGGCGCACGAGGGAGCTGAGCAGACCGTTCAGAGGAAGTGCTCCCTCGTCAGCCGCCCGCCCGACCATCAGCCACTGGACCACCAGGGAGAGAGGGACCCCCCCCCAGCATTCCCAAAGGTAAGGAGGTTGGGGGGGGGTAAATAAAAAAAATAATAAAATGTGTTAATGTGAGTGAGTGTGTGTATATGTCTGTGAGTGTGTCTGTTAATGTGTGTGTGTTTGTTAGTGTGTGTGTGTGTGTGTCTGCTAGTGTATGTCTGCTAATGAGTGAGTGTGAGTCTGTTAGTGTGTATCTGACTGTGTTTGTCTGTTAGTGTGTATGTGTGTGTCTGACTGTGTGTCAGTGAGTGTGTGTGTGTCTGCTAGTGAGTGTGTGTTTGCCTGTGAGTGTGTGTGTGTCTGTTAGTGTGTGTGTGTGTGTGTGTGTCTGTTAGTTTGTGTGTCTGACTGTGTGTGTGCCAGTTAGTGTGAGTGTGTTTGCCTGTGAGTGTGTGTCAGTGAGTGTGTGTCTGTTAATGTGTGTGTGTTTGTTAGTGTGAGTGTGTTTGCCTGTGAGTGTGTGTGTCAGTGAGTGTGTGTCTGTTAGTGAGTGTAAGTGTTTCTGTTAGCGAGTGTATGCGTATCTGTCAGTGAATGTGTGTGTGTGTGTATTTAGAAGGCTTGGGGGGGCTGGCCCGGGGGGGGCGCCTGAGTTTTGTCCTGCCTAGGGCAGCACAAAACCAGGATACACCACTGGCCTGACCTATATCCCATAAGCGGGGATCATACCGCTGTGCGCTTTCCACACTAGAGCTAGCTATAGCTCTAACACATGTGAGTGCATTACCATCTTCTTTTATCATTTGTTGTACCCTATTGGACATACCACACTATTTGGTTTTCTATTTGTTTTATCTTTTCATAATATTGGATCCCCAAGGAGATTGTTCCCGATCAAGCACTTTACAGACTATCAGATCTGTTCAGCTAAGACTTTTACATTTGGATTTCCCCTATATTTTTATATATTTTATTGGTCTATTTTGGTGCAGCCTTTATCTCTGTTTTTACATTTATCAGTATGTACCATTTGGGAATAAATATAAAAGAAACAAATTAAAACCAATGTGGCTTAGTAGAGAAGTAAAACTAGAGATTAAAATTAAGAAAAGGGCATTTAAATCGGACAAATCAGATGCATCCTATAAAAGATTTAAGGAAGCCAATAATGCGTGCAAAAAGGCGATTAGATTCGCTAAACTTCAAAATAAAAAAAATTATAGCCAAAGAGAGCAAAACCAACCCCAAAGCATTCTTTAAATACATAAATTCTAAAAAAAAAAAAAAAAATGAAAGTGTAGGTACACTAAAAACTGAAATGGGGGTGTTAGCTTATGAAGACCAGGAAAAGGCAGGAATTTTAAATAACTATTTCTCCTCCGTATATATTAAGGAAGAACCCATGGCAATAGATTGCTGCTAAAAACTTGCAGAATAATTGTAATTGGTTAACTCAAGGAAAGGTGCAACTAAAGAAAGTTAATATAAACAAAGCTCCAGGGTCTGACGGTATCCATCCACGAGTACTTAAGGAACTAAGTGTAGAAATAGGAGGATTGGAGGAAGGCAGATGTGGTTCCTATATTCAAAAAGGGTTCAAAATCCTTGCCTGGAAATTATAGAACTGTGAGCTTAACTTCTGTGGCTTGGAAAATATTTGAAAGGTTATTAAGGGATAGTATTCAAGAATTCCTTGAGAAGAACATGGTTATCAGCAAAAATCAGCATGGTTTTATGAAGCACAGGTCATGTCAAACTAACTTGATTATGTTCTACGAAGAAGTAAGTAGAAGTATAGATCAGGGTGTTGCAGTGGATGTGATCTATTTGGATTTTTTTCAAGGCATTTGATACAGTTCCACACAATAGATTAGTGTTCAAACTCAAGGAAATCGGTCTAGATGAAAATGCTTGTTCTTAGGTAGAACATTGGCTTAAAAATAGAGTGCAAAGAGTTATCATCAATGGTAAATTTTCAAGCTGGACATAGGTGGCAAGTGGTGTCCATCAGTGTTCTGTTCTGGGACCCCTTCTATTTAAAGGACCACTATAGGCACCCAGACCACTTCAGCTTAATGAAGTGGTCTGGGTGCCAGGTCCATCTAGTGTTAACCCTGCCTGCTGTAAATATAGCAGTTTCAGAGAAACTGCTATGTTTACATATGGGTTAATCCAGCCTCTAGTGGCTGTCTCACTGACAGCCGCTAGAGGCGCTTCCGCGCTTCTCACTGTGATTTTCACAGTGAGAAGACGCCAGCGTCCATAGGAAAGCATTGAGCAATGCTTTCCTATGGACTGACTGAATGCGCGCGCAGCTCTTGCCTCTTCCTCCCCATTCAGCCCGGCAGGAGGGGAGCCATGAGGGTGGGGGGGGGGGGACCCATCAACACTATAGTGCCAGGAACTTGTTTTCCTGGCACTATAGTGGTCCTTTAACATGTTTCTAAATGATCTTGAAAAAAGCAATAAAAGTCATGTTTCTTTGTTTGCAGATGACACAAACTCTGTAAAATAATACAATGTGAGCAAGATATTACTTTGCTGCAGAGGGATTTAGATAGACTAGGGCACTGGGCACTCAAATGGCAGATTAAATTTAATGTTGAAAAATGCAAAGTTATGCACTTCGGCGTAAAGAATGGACAAGCAACATATACCCTTAATGGAAGCGAATTAGGGATAACAACACACGAAAAGGACTTGGGAATTGTTATAGACAACAAACTATGCAACAATGTGCAATGTCAATCAGCAGTGGCTAAGGCCAGTAAGGTATTATCATGCATGAAAAAGGCCATTCATTCTCAGGATGAGAATATCATTTTGCCTCTTTATAAATCACTGGTAAGACCACATATTGAATATGCTGTGCAATTTTGGGCACCTGTTCTAAAGAAGGATGTTATGGCTCTAGAAAAAGTGCAGAGGCGGGCTACAAAATTAATAAAAGGAATGGAACATTTCAGCTATGAAGAAATGTTAACAAATTTAAACCAATTTAGTTTAGAAAAACGTCGCCTGAGAGGGTATATGATAACATTATACAAATATATTCGGGGCCAATACAAACCATTGTGTGGAAATCTATTCACAAACCGGACTTCACATAGGACACAAGGTCATGCGTTTAGACTGGAAGAAAGAAGATTTAGTCTAAGGCAGTGGAAAGGTTTTTTTTACTGTAAGAACAATAAGGATGTGGAATTCTCTGCCTGAAGAAGTGGTTTTATCAGAATCCATAGAGATGTTCAAACAGCAACTAGATGCATACTTGCAAAAACAGAATATTCAAGGAAATCATTTTTCAATATAGGGTAATAACTGCTTGATCCAAGGATAAATCTGACTGCCATTCAGGGGTCACAAAGGAATTTTTTTCCTAGCTTGTTGCAAAATTGGAAGTGCCTCAAACTGTTTTTTTTGCTTTCTTTTAGATCAACAGCAAAAAACAAATGTGAGGAAGGCTGAACTTGATGGACGCAAGTCTCTTTTCAGCTATGTAACTATGAAAGCCCTCTGACGCTTACATAGATTCCTTAGGTAGGGGGTCTGTCTGGGCGCTTGGCCGCGTACCTCCTAAGGTCACTAATGTGGGAAGACTGAAACTCCTCTGCACAGGCGCTGGTTGGTCTATCACCCTAATATTGGCGGCCACCAGTTTCCCAGGTAGATACATGTTGTCCATTGGGCACCTATAGTGCCAACTGTTTTTGTAAATATATAGTTCTTTTTCAGATTTAGATCGGAACTACCTCCCTCACACATTTAATCCCTCTTTTTTTTCTTCTTTCTTTCTCTCTCTCTCTCTCTCTCTCCTTCTCTCTATTATTCTCTCCTCTTTCCTCTCTCTTTGTCCTAACCCCCAGAGCTGACATTGAGTATCACGCCCCCTGCCTTCTCGAAGCTCCCCCTCAATGTCCGCACGCTCAATGTGTGCAGACTTAATGTGCCGGAACACAGTTCCAGACTTCTCCGGGAACTATGGTCATTTCGGGCTTCAGTGGCGATGCTACAAGAGACAAACTTCAAGCTCGGTTCTGAACCCACACTGAGGGACCGAAGGTTCCTCACTGGATAGTTTGCATCACATGCACAAGGGAAGAAAACTGGGGTGGCGATTCTCTTTTTTCGCAAGGGACCCCGTTCGAACTTATAGATCAGAGGACGAACCCTGATGGTCTTTCTGAAGGGACGCTTAACTCACGCCTCTACACTTTCGCCACACTCTACACCCCCAACTCCCGCCAGCACATATTTCTTACGAAGACACTGAGACTACTGGCCGACTTCTCGGATGAGGTACTGATCCTTGGGGGTGACTTCAACGTGTCCCTGGACCCGGTTATGGACATATCTCGGGGATACAGTGCGATCGCATATTCCTGTATCAGATGTATCTGGAAAGCCTTGAGGAAACTACATTTAGTGGATTGCCGGAGAACACTCCACCTGGAGATGAGGGATTACACGTATTACTGTAGGTCTGAAGAGAAAATGAAAATATCATCTAAATAACTGACCACATATTGATCAAGGAGGTCACGGAATATATAATTGAGAAAGTATTGAAAGGAAACAGAAGCATTACAGAGTCCATAGGGCTGATTAACCTTTTTTTCAGTATTTCATATATATATATATATATATATATATATAAAAAATTATTGGAAATGACCGCCCTCCAAGGACTTGTTGATAGTAAAAATAAAATATACATTTATTCTCTATCATATAAAAAGATATCGACGTTTCACCCCAATAAATGGGCTTTCATCAGGGCTAACATAGGATCCCTTATTTGACAGCAGCTTCACAAGTCCAGCAGTCGCAATTTACCTACAGCAGGCTCCCAGCCTGGGAGGTAAATTGCCTGAACGCTTCCACTTCTGGGTGGTCCACCTGTGTGGTACTTGGTTCAGTAAGCCCCATTTACTGAACCAAGTGGGAAGAAGCCATAAGCAAAGTTGGTGGTGCACATTGAGTCTATTAAGGGGAAGAGAAATGACATTAATGTCTTGCTGTGGTTTCTGACTAATCTGGCTCTAGAGGTGTTCCCCCCTCGCGGATTGACAAATGCATGTCGGTGCTGGCTTTTCTCTTCAAGCTGCAGGGCTGGTGGACTTGACCAAGCTTTTCTTGGTGTGTCAGGCATTTAGGGTCATTTGAAAAGGACGTACATTTCCGGACTCCAGGCGACCTATGTCGGCCCGATTGCTCAGGGAATTGCTGGTTGTTTTAATAAATTCAAGGTAACTTTGTTCCAAGCAGCATATGCCTTGGCCTTTTTTGGGGCATTCTGGCTATTAGAGATAGTCAGCCCTAAGAAGGTGTGCCACTGGAGCTTGGCAGTAGCCGATGTGGTAAGTAATGATGGTGGGGTGACTGTTTTGCCCAATCGTCTAAGATGGATGTTTTTGTATGAGGTAAGTAGATCCTGTTGCACCATCTGCCGGGCAAACCCATCTGCCCAGTGAAGTGTGTGGCGCTCTATTTATAGATTAGGCCTGAAGGCAGACAGTAATTATTGGTTCATGAGGTGTTGCGTTTTCATTTTCTTAAGGTTCTAGGTTTGGCTCGTTTGGGGGTGGAGGCAGTGGACTCCTTCCATATTGGGGCATCCACGTTGGTTGCAAGGCTGGTTTTTAGGTGATGATATCATGCGACAGATCAGACCCTGGGAGTCTGCAAGTTTTCGGACATATATCAGGACTCAGGGCTTACTGCAGCAAGGCTGTGAACAAGCGGAGCCTAGGGTTACTAAGGTTTAGGCAAGGGGAGATGGGAGAGGCAGTGTTAAGTTAAGGACTTTTTAAGTATCTTGCCCTGTCTCTGATTTCTTTCAGGACGCCCCTAATTGGCCACTCTCATATCTACTGGGCCCAAAGAAGAGCTGCAGTTAGAGCCAATGGTTTGCAGTTGGGCTTCTCTAAATAAGGTAAAAAAAACAGAAACACTAGAAATGAAAAAAACGTGAATGTAATCTTCCTAATGCATCTCACAAATAAACCTAAAGTAAAAATAGTGGAAGAAAAAAAACAAAAAAAAAAAAACACTTGTGTAGGAAAAAAAAAAGTATAGGTAGAAAAACAACCTGCACAAACGGAGAAGTAAATCACTGGGGAAATATATCCAAAATAATGGAAAGAAATAAAAGGATGAAAATAGGTGTGCTCATCACCCCTCCGAGGTAAATCAAAAAGGCATGAAGGCATAGTAGATCTCTAGTGCTCATATACAAGGAAAAAGATAGCCACAATCAGGGGTCAAGTCCTGGGGAAAAAAGTGTGGGAACTCACCCAAGATTCCCGCCCCCCCCCCCTTAAAAAAAAAAATTACACTCCTATGCATATAGTGCAGTGCAGGGTGTGTATAATGAATGTAGTGTGTTTGTAGTGAATGCAGAGTATGAATAATAAATGTAGTGTGTCTGTAGTGAGTGCAGTGTGAATAATAATTGTAGTGTATTTGTAGTGAGTGCAGAGTGTGTATAATGAATGCAGTGTGTTTTTAGTGAGTGCAGAGTGTGTATAATGAATGTAGTGTATTTGTAGTGAATGCAGTGTGTATAATAAATGTAGTGTATTTGTAGTGAGTGCAGTGTGTATAATAATAAATGTAGTGTGTATAGTGAATGCAGTGTGTATAGTGAATGTAGTGTTTTTGTAGTGAGTGCAGAGTGTGTATAATGAATGTAGTGTGTTTGTAGTAAGTGCAAATTGTGTATAATGAATTTAGTGTGTTTGTAGTGAGTGCAGTGTGTACAATGAATGCAGTGTATGTAGTGTGTTTGTAGTGAATGCAGAGTGTGTATAGTGAATGTAGTGTATTTGTAGTGAATGCAGTGTGTATAACAAATGTAGTGTATTTGTAGTGAGTGCAGTGTGTATAATAAATGTAGTGTGTTTGTAGTGAGTGCAGTGTGTATAGTGAATGTAGTGTTTTTGTAGTGAGTGCAGAGTGTGTATAATGAATGTAGTGTGTTTGTAGTAAGTGCAAATTGTGTCATAATGAATTTAGTGTGTTTGTAGTGAGTGCAGAGTGTGTACAATGAATGCAGTGTATGTAGTGTGTTTGTAGTGAATGCAGAGTGTGTATAGTGAATGTAGTGTGTAGTGAGTGCAGAATGTGTATAATGAATGCAGAGTGCGTATAGTGAATGCAGAGGGTGTATAGTGAATGCAGAGGGTGTATAGTGAATGTAGTGTGTTTGTAGTGAGTGTATAGTGAATGTAGAGTGTTTGTAGTGAGTGAAGAGTGTGTATAATGAATGCAGCGTGCGCTGGATGATGTGTGTGAGTGCGCTGGATGATGTGTGTGAGTGCGCTGGATGATGTGTGTGTGTGAGTGCTGGATGATGTGTGTGTGTGAGTGCTGGATGATGTGTGTGTGAGTGCTGGATGATGTGTGGATGATGTGTGTGTGTGAGTGCTGGATGATGTGTGTGTGAGTGCTGGATGATGTGTGTGTGCTGGATGATGGGTGTGTGTGTGCTGGATGATGTGTGTGTGCTGGATGATGGGTGTGTGTGTGCTGGATGATGATGAGTGCTGGATGATGTGTGCTGGATGATGGGTGTGTGTGTGCTGGATGATGGGTGTGTGAGTGCTGGATGATGGGTGTGTGTGTGTGCTGGATGCTGGATGTGTGAGTGCTGGATGATGGGTGTGTGTGTGCTGGATGATGGGTGTGTGTGTGCTGGATGATGTGTGGGGGGGGAGCATTTTTTTTTAACTTTATGTGTATGTATATTTTTTTTATTTTATTCCCCCCTCCCTGCTTCTTACCTTGTCAGGGAGGGGGGAGATCGCCTGGTGGTCCGGTGGAGGGAGCCAGCCGCTGCACAGAGGGGCCATCACACGCTGTGTTCCCTCTCCAGCTCTAACTCTCGCGAGACTCGCCTGTGCGGAGCGTTGCCATGGTAACAGCCGCGGGTCTCGCGAGAGTTATAGCTGGAGAGGGAACACAGCGTGTGACGGCCCCTCTGTGCAGGTAGCAGGGCCGGTCCTGCAGGACAGGTAACGGGAACGGCGCGGCTTCGATAAGCAGTGCGCATACGTACAGACGGAAAACTATATGGGACATAAAAAAATATAGAAACGAATTGCAGTCTCTTTTAAGCCATGTATGCATAACAAGAAAAGAGAAAAGAACCATGGACACCGAAGGCAGCAGTATAGAATCCCAATGGAATACATATGTAATATGTAAAACTTGAATATAGAAAATATAGAAAAATATATTTTAAAAGAACATAGAAAAAAATACTCTTCTCTTCTCTAAAGGCATGATCCAACATGATCCTGGTTCAGTATATACAGAGAGCACTATTCCTTGTTTTGGTTTTTCTTTTGGGTTATGCTGCTGCTATACTGCTGAGATATCTGACAACCACGTCCACTCACATATCCTAGAAGTGGGGATTGTACAGCTTTATGCTTTCTATACTAGAGCTGTTTTTTTAGCTCTCATAAATGTGAGTATATGTTTTAATTTTAATTCTATGCAAGAAAGTTGATTGAGATATCCCATGCTATTGGATTTTTCTGTTCTTTTCTTTTTCATATATATGACTACACGAACTGAAAGTCTGACCCAAGATTGTTAACACAAGAAGAATGTCTTTCCTGTGACCTGACCTGTTCCCTTGCAAGTTGCACTTTATAATTTAGGACATTATTGTGGCCATTTTTATATGTGATTTTCATCCTTTTTACTTGGTGTTTCTGGTATCCTGCCTATATTTTATACGACTCATATAATTTTCATAATAGATTTTCTGTCTCTATTTAGTTTCCATACATCTGTAGAAGTACAATATAACATTGATGCTACCTTTTCCCTTTTTTTGCCTACTAATAATTTGTTAGGGTAACCCAAATATTAGCACTTATATTTGAGTTTATACAGAGTGCAAAATCATAAAAATGGCTTTAGAATACAGGTGTCAAACGGCCTGGAAGCTAACAGTTAAGTATCTGCCTTGGAATTTCTAGGATTTGAGATTTTAGAAATGCAAGAATTATTAAAATTTTCTTCAACAAAACATTATTTTTCCCAGTATGTATGATTCACTTGCCTGCAGTTTTTTGTTTTTTTAAACTACTCTTTACAGCCACTTGGTGGCCTATATCTGCATATGTCCAATTATCGGAAAGTGCTTATTACATCAAGCAAGAGACCACAAATTACCTCGCTCACACAGTTTACACCCTGTTCAAAATTATTATGCAAATTATAGTTTTCTCATTTACCTAAATAATTGATGTAAATAACAGTCAACATAATTCTCATGATATCAA